GATGCCTACCACACCATCACTCCCCACAAGCGCGGCGACGACGCGGATGATGCCTACCACACCATCACCCCTCACGATCACTAAGGCAGTGGATATTTAGTCAACAAGAGTTGGAACAGTGACAGCAGCCAGGTACAATCAAGACCAGGGCAACGAAAAGAAGGAGGGGAGACTTGAGGTCTGGAGACAATGTCAGTAGTCCGTGGTAGTGAAAAGAAATTCACGGCAGGTAGCAAAATGCCACAAGTGTAACTCGGTTATCTGTTTGCATGCTTTGTATCGCACCATACCCCTCACTTGAGTAGACTCCTGCTAGCCCCACATGGCAACTTACACTAAAACTGTATAGTCCCCATATCAGGTAGAACAGCCCCTCCAACTCCTAGCGAGTTATTCTCTTTCAGGGTAGTCGACACGGGGCTTTAAGAATTGTCGATAGGAACGAGTACGAGCGTGTCTGTAGCCAAACAAGCACGAAGATGACGACCAGAACATACGACAAACACACCCACGTCTACAAGACGCACTTCACCACAGAGATCCAGCTCGACGTGTACCTTCCTCCCGGCAAGGACTCGAGAACTCCTCGGCCAATTCTCCTGTGGTTTCACGGTGGCTACCTCGTAAGTCTCTCCAACCTTTCATCCTAGAAACCGCCGTCGAAGAAAACCAATGCAAAGAAATAAGACGAAAAGAAACAACAAAAAAACCTGAAAGCTAAGAACCAGCATAGATAACAGGCAGCCGTCGAGCGATCCCCGGCTGGCTCCTCCACCACGCCCTCACCCAGAACTGGACCCTCATCTCCGCCGACTACAGGGTCCTGCCCGAATCGACCGGCCTCGCGACCACCGAAGACGCAATCGCAGCCTACGAATGGGTGGCCGGCGGCTCTCTCCACCGCCTGCACCGCGACTGCACCGCCAATCCCGGCCAGATCATTCTGGCAGGCGCCAGCGCCGGAGGCTGGTGCGCTCTGGTGACTGCGTTGCACTTTACTTCTCCTTCCCCAGCAGAGCAGACAGGCCAAATTCCCCTCCCGCCCCCGAAGGCGCTCTGGCTTCTCTACCCGCTGCTAGACCTCGGGAGTCAGAAATGGGCCCAGAGCGTTCACCTTCCTGGTGCGAGGGCGGTTGATCGTGCTACAGCGGAAAGCCTTTTACACGAAGTCTCTGAAAGGATTGCGCGGGGCGAGATAAGCATCGGGGAGGATTTCCCGTCTTCTGAAGAGGAGATGCGCACGCGAAAACGGCTTCCCTTGCTGTATTTGCTTCTGGAGCGCGGGGGGTTTCTGGATTCTCTGACGGGGGAGGCTGGGTTCGGGGAGAGGGTGGTGGGGTTAGGGCTGGACGGGGCGGTCGCGGGGCATGGGCATGGGCATGATAATCGCGTGAGGGGGCTTTTCCCGCTGGACTACGGCGTGTTTGGGCCTGGGTTCCCGGCGACGGTAATTGTGCATGGGACGGGTGATCGGGAGGTTTCTTGTGGTGAGAGTGAGAGGCTGGTGGATAAGTTGCGGGAGGGTTGTGTGGAGGTGCAGTACTTTCCGGTCGAGGGCGCGGATCATGTTTTTGACCTGGAGTTGCGGGAGGGTTCGCTAGAACGCAAAGAGGGGGGCGAGGCTGGTGCGACTCTTGTGCGGGCTATACGCGCGCTGCAAAGGTACCTTGAGAGGTAAGTCGGAACCTGTCCAGAAATTGGCTCGCTGGCGTTTGCCTCAATCGACAGGGTTCGCCACTGAAGAGCTCGTCTGAAAGGACAGTATATCTCATCAACCTGTGTCAACTATATGATTCGTCTCGAACAACCTCCTATCTCACAATGCCCCTCGTTCCTCGATGCAGAAACCCGGCATTTCACCAACTAAGCCATAAGCAGTGGGGGACCCTAGCGTGAGGCGAAAACCCAAATACGGAGCATAATCCCACTCATCGCGTAGCACTCAACCCCGCAATACTGCAGCTGTACTAGTACTGAGTAGTTAGGATCAAGATTTGACCAAGCATTGGCTAGATGGACGGGTTTGCTTGGCTGCCCACTGCACTGCAGTGGAGCCGCAGAGTCAGCACCAACCGATCCTCCGCCGGTCCTCCGCCGGCGGGTTTCAGCTCGCCGATCCACCCTGTCGGATGGTGGGGGTGATAACCGTATCGAGACTTTCTATTACTGCGGTGTGATATTGGTGCATCAACATAGTAATGTTGTTCGATCGCTAAGTTATTCATTTGTAGTCCAGTAAAGACTTTTCATCCACAAGTGACGGCACACAAATTTGTATCATTCTGTTCATACTGCAAGATGTTTCACGGCGGCCCTGGGGCCTTGATGCCTGAGGGGCCAGCTCACCGCCCACCCGGCTGCCTTAGCTAGTTCTCCGATAGCCTTACGTAGAGGAATCAGGCCAATACACAAACCATATCAAATGATCGATTGGTATCTGCGACCCAAGAAAACGGTCCGAGGAAGCGTTGTTGCTGCTTGTTCTCACTAAGAGAACCGTGGAGCCTCAGAGTTTCCCGCGCTTGAAGGTGCTCCCGCCACAGGGTGAGCGTGGGACTGTTCGATTCATACAGAGTCACTTTCAGATTGTGTGCAGGTCCGATGCCGCGGTTCTTCACGGCCACGTAACAGTAGTCCTCCATCCCCGATCGGGGAGCCAGGCTGACCTGCAGATCATCGTTGACATGACGATTCCAGATACCGGGAGTATTATCTCACGGGGTAGTGTAGGTTTACTGTTTATCTCGGCCATCGTCAATGTACACGCCAGCTACGGGCAGCGGCCCTTCGGTCATGACCCCCGGAGCGGGCGTGCCCGCCTATTCTTCAAACACCTACCGAATGAATGACCTTTCGAACAGCACCACCAGGATGGCCAAGAATCGTGTCATTATCGGCCGCTGTGTTAGCTGAGACACACTGGTAGGGCATGGGCATCGTGATGGCGATGGTCGCGATGCCGCCTAGGATGAGATACAACATGTACTTCGACGCCCCGGTTTGTCGATTGATCGTGGACAAGACCTGCTCGTCACGATAATATGTCATGATGACACCTGCGAGAGAGGTGGAAGATGTGGGCAGGCTAGCTGCGAGGAACTACCCGGTAGCCAAGGCCACCGGTTGGCGGTCAGCGGCAGCGAGTGTGACGACTGCATCGCGGAGACCACACATTCGAGGTTACAAAACAGTTGCTTGGATCGAAAGTCACCTGTCGTTTACGTGATGAACTGAGGAGGAAGTTCCCATGAGAACCACCATTACCGCGGCGTAGGCCGCTACAGACGCCAGAACATCTTTACCGTCCAGGTCTTCTCCAAACCATGCGAGGCCCAGCGCAAAGAGAATCGTTGCTGCACTAGCCGTCGCAAGTATCGTGGGCGTATCGTTGTAGAGGACCATCAGCAGTAACGTGTTCTGTGGAGTTGACACTATTCAAGGACATCCAGGATGTTGGCTATGACACTGCGCCTCATCGTTTGCTCGTATTTTGGGCCATTTGCGACCGTGCTACGAAGAGTTGTAGGTTGCTCCGTTGGCGGACGTAGTTATCCATCCTTCTCACGTTGGATACTATAAAGACTAAAGAACTATATCTGGAGCTAACTACCTTAATACCAAAGGATAATATAGTATAGTCTAACAGAAAACCCGGACCAAAGATACTTCCTTTCGAAGAAGAGTTCCAATCCAAGTTAAGCTTTAGCCTCGTTAAGATAGAAATTCAATTGCTATCAACCTTGACTAGATTCAAGTCTACCCATATAGATACTGGCCTAATCGGGACTGTACTCCCCGAAACTGGAGACATTGGCGACTTTTGATAGGGTGCAACGGTTCTGGAACTCCCGCATGGCAGCCCTAATATCGACCGCGTTCTTCGCGTCCCATGTATCAGCTCTAGCCCTTCTTCTGGAATCCTAGTCTTTCTAGGTAGATCCCGACTACGAGCCTTGATTTGATCCGAATACGGTAGCTCGGACCTCTGGCACAAAACACCTCACTCATTCCTCCATACAAAAGACAGCTAGGTGCATAGGTAGTAAGGTAGTAGATATAGGCATGACCAACTAATTGCATCGCATGCTCTGGATTAGTAGCACCTGATCCACCGAGAGTTAATTCCCAGAGTTCGGAGTATATCCCAACAGAGACTGCTGTCGAAAATGGAGCACACAATATCATCATTCTTCCAATTCTTGGTCATCAAAGCTCGAACATCCATTGTCACATGTATTTCCAAATCAAGATTGCAGAAACATGCGGCCAATAGCCCGGCCTTGGCCAGTGATTATGCGGCACGTGCGATCTCCCCGCCAAACGCTGCTTTGTTGCCATTCCACGAACCTCGAAGCTTCCCTACTAACCAGAACCTTCGGCTCAGTCTAACATGTTTGGTAGATACCAATCGCTGAGGCAGCACTCTATCACTTTCTACTTCTCATTTGAATCAACAATATCCATTATGGCTCCCCAAGCCAAAGAAAGCAGCCACCCCCGCCCCCCCTCCACCACCTCCACCCCCGTCAAACCCGAAATCAAAGATATCACCCCACGTCCTAAGACTACGCACCACTTCTCCCAGGTTCATCAACCACACACCAAAACCTCAACCTGTGGCAGCACCCACCGGCCCCTACTTCTTCTACGGCACCCTCGCCGACCTATCAATACTGGGTGAAGTCCTTGGCGTAGCCGAGAAGCCCCAACTCAAGCCTGCATACCTCCTCGGCTACGCATGTAAGCTGTGGGGTCAGTATCCGGCTTTGGTGGTGACGGCGGCCCTGGGGCCTTGGTGCCTGAGGTGCCAGCTCACCGCCCACCCGGCTGCCTTAGCTAGTTCTCTCTATAGCCTTATATAGAGGAATCAACAAGCCTTTTCTACCTCTCAGAGGCGTTATTAGGTTATAAGCCCTCGCTCTTAATAATATGTTATTTTATTACTTTTTATTAATATCTTTATATTTTTTAGTATTTTATACTTATATATATCTTCTGTTTCTATTTATTTATAATAACAAGACTTTTTAGCCTGCAGGCTTTTATACTAAAATAGCCGAGTCTAACAGCAAAGCTACTGTTTCTACCGTATCTAATTAGTATTAATATAGCAACTAAATTCTTTCTACAACTCTTTCTATAATACTTCCGGGAGTAAAACTACTTAAAGACTATTTTAACTAGAATATTTAATATTATTTTATTAAGATTATTCTTTATATTAATTAAGCTGATATTCTAATTAATCCTATTCTTTCCCGCCTATATATAATCGACGATAAAAAGAAATATATAATATAAAATAAGTAGTCTGTTACTATTAATAGTTAGTTTATAAATTAACTCTTATCTAAAATTTTTAATAAATATTTAACTATTTATACCAACTGTATACACGCGAATAAAAGTTTTAATAAAATATATTATATTATTTATAAAGCCGGTATAGCAAGTAAATAGAATATTATATTAAATTTCTTATTTTTTTATACTTTGACTTTTATTAATATGTTTATATATATTACTGTTTTTAAGTCTTATATTTTAATATCTGTTATTTCAGCTATAAGCTTAATATATACTCTGCGGTTTTAATATTTTTATATAAGTTTAAAAATACTTTTCCCGCGTAAATTATGGTCTGTAAAAATAAGATTAATAATAATATAGATTTTTCTAATAATATAAAACTTTTTAAGTTGATTCAACACTTTGAAAGCCTCGCGGATAAGACTAAAAAAAATAAGAAAACTAACCTTTTTGGTATATTATTCTCTATTATTAAAGTACTAAAGAAGAACTTTAATAATAATATTAAACTATTTATTAAAAAATCTACATCCGGCTAAACTAATACAGAATTTCTTATTTTTTAGACTGCTGTATTAACTAAATAAATTAACGGTAAGTATACTTTCTGCGGTTTTTTTATATACGGTCTTAATTATTACTTTTATCTATATTCTAAACTATATTCTGGCGATTAAAAGTCTTTTAGAACCGATATATAGTATTCTCCAAAGTTAGAAATCCAAGTTTTTACTATACTATATATAATTAATATTTTTAAAAGCTAAGCTAAGATATTTATATATAGTAATTAGCCGGCGGGTGTATATAAGTTTCTTAGACTTTAAAAAAATCGGGCGGTTTTTATACTGTATTGTTATATTCTTAGTTTTTTATATAGCTAAAATAATTAGCTAGGTAGATATATACAGATTTCTTAGACTTTAAGAAAGTCGGGCAGTTCTTCTACTATATTGTCTGGTTTTTATAATTATAATTTTTTATACTCTTTTTTTTATAGTAATTTTTTGTCTATATTTTGGCTTTATGTTTGTGCGGTGAGCTGGGGGGGTGAAACAGCAGTCCTAAAGTCTTGGTATCTGAGATGTCAGCTTACCGCCTATCCAGCTGCCTTAGCTAGTTCTCTTTATAGTCTTATATAGAGGAATCAACAAGCCTTCACCTCTCAGAGGCGTCATCAGGTGGAGGCAGAACCGGGGTCGATGGTTCGGGGGGTTGTCTATGAAGTGCGCACGCGGGAGGAGGGCGAGAGGTTGGCGGTGTATGAGACTGAGAATTACCGGGCGAAGAGGTGTCGCATTAGAGTTGTGGATGGGGAGGGGAGCCAAGAGGTTTTGGGATATACGTTTAAGTTTGTGGGGGGGGCTGAGGATCTCAGTGAGGGGGGCTTTGATTTGGAGGTCTGGTTGAGGAGGATGGGGAGGCGGGTTCGTGGGGATAATTTGGATTCTGCGGATGGTAATTAGTTAGTTAGCAGTCGAGGTCTTAGGGGTTGAGGACTGGAAATGAGGCTTCGAATTATCTACAGGGCTGAATGAAATATGCTCTACCTTTCTTATAGACATTTGTGCTCAGGGCACAATACAAAAGACGTAAACCCGGCTCGGACTGACCACCACTTCCAGAATTTCTGGCATAGCTTCCTGGCAGCTCAGCACAGTGATTCTCATACCCTCCCACCCTTAGTTTCTCTCCTCGGCGGCAAGTAAAGAAGATGTCTTTTGGAGATTATCAAAGTGCAGTCTCGCTGCACCCGCTGTTTTGGTCTGGTCTTCAACATAATGCACGCCCGTCGTCGACGACGACGCCTCGTCCTCCGTCTCATCATCCATCCAGATTATCGTCTTGAACAAATAATGCAGTTGATTCTTGTAATGAAACACACGGAAGTCTTCGCCCAAATGGAAGAATAAACTTGTCTCTCCCACCGTGCATTCTCGCTCTGTGCCGTTGACTGCGTCTCGCTGCAGCGGGGAAGGCATGAACCCCCCCCCGATGACCTGGGTGTGATTCTCGCTCGTGGCGAGGATGATCTGAAGACTGTTGTCGCTTTGTAAAGCTTGGGCCATATCGCAAAAGGTTGGGCTGGTTGATGGCATTTCAATCAGTTTGAATGTGATGGGGTTTTATACCGAATGTCGATCCTGGATTGGTAGGCGATATATGCGATATGGGAAGGAAGAGCGACAAGCTGAGGCTGTGAAGACCCGCGGTGAGATGTGGTCTCCCGCTCCGTCTCGGTTGGCAAACTCGTTTTCAGTCCCCGGGCACGGGGGCTGGAATAGCACGGTCCAGAGGTTTTTTTACTCTGTATAGTAGTAGGCACTGAGGTTTTGCTGCGGGGAGTATCCGCATATCAGTGGCTATGCTACAGCAAGATGGCCACCAAATCTGTTCGCATGAACGTCCTCGATTCGACTGAATCCCTAGAGTGTTAATGGAGGTATATAATCCCGGCGACGCGCTAGGCAGAAGAGGATATATACAGCCCTCTTGCCGCAGTCAACGCATACAGCAATGCTGTTCAGTCAAAGAACGTAATTTTAAGTCGATTCTTAATTCATCACCTCGGCTTTTTATTGACCTAGAGGGTATCAATTTGGTTCCAACTGCTCTATCTCCATTTTCTCTCTGTACGCTATGCGCAAGAGGATAATCAAACGTGTCGATGTCCACACACTGGGAAAGCTGTATTTATCAGTTCTCAGCCCGGCAAAAATATTCTCTTGTAGGCAGTATAAGACGCAAGTCTGTTTTGTTTTGGAGCCGGTCTGCTCTCTGTGATTCAATAGTTTGAGAACATGAGCTTGTCAGAAAAGCCTAGGCCGATACTTGATAACTGAAGAGGTATCGCAAAGTAGCTTCTTGGTTTGAGAAGCACTTGCTTTCAGTAACTTCAATGCGGCCTGCTTCTGGAGCATACGTTAGTGGTCCTTGGCAAAATAACGTTCTGTTGAAACTAGCTCGGGATTGGCTGATGTCCAACATAATACGGTGATATTTAGCAAGGAAATAAAAATACAACTCGCCACGACAAAGGTGTATTTTAGTATTACTCGGATTGATGCTGCCGCAAAATCTGAGCCTGTCCAGCAGACTTTCAGGCTCTCAGGGATTACGGCCTTTCGTGCAGGGGTCTGGGCGGAGACCTGCGTACTACAGGAACGGGCCTGATAAAATGGAATCCTAGTATACCAAAGCCCCCATACCATTCTACTCAGAGTCGTTCAAATCCTAACTCGACAATGTGGTTTCTGCGGGATAGTTATGCCTCGGCGAGTTTTATTAAGATTTTAAAGAGAATTAAACAGTATTTAAATCGGAATAAATTTTTACTGGCTAGGTAGCCCGTGTGAAACTTCTTCGAGGCGGTTGCACGAGGCTTAGAATTCTGCTTATACTTGTTTAAGACGGGGAAGATTAGACTAAAATACTTCTTGTCTAGTAATACAAGTCGCCATAAGGCGGATGTTAAGTATTTATTAATATCTAGTAGAACTGGGGAGCCAACTTTATCTATATAGAGAATATCTTTCTAAGAGCTAGGCTAGAAATACCATTAGTATAGATTGAGGGCACTGGAACACGAGAATTAAAAACAAGGTCGCACCAGCGAAGTCGGTAAGTGGAGGGAGAATTCAGCGAGAAGAGAACTCGGTGCATCATGGTCCGAGCTGCCCACTCACTGTCTGTCTTAATGACTCCATGTCGAGTCGGGATGTGGACTCTACACAGTGATATTCCCTGTCAGGTCCAGCTGGATGGATGCGGGGTGCGTGATGGCCAATCCCGGCTTCCCCGGTGTGCCTCTAGTCACCTCCACAAGCGTCAAAGTGGCGCATCGCGTGAAGAATTCGTTTCAGGGTCCAATTTCTCTTACGAAAGCACAGAGCCTAATCTGTAGTCATCGGAGATGAGCAGGGACACTTTTCGCAACGGGCACAAGATAAATACCGGACGTGCGCTCTCTCGAGGAATCACAACCGCAACCTACCAGCACACATCCGCGGCTATCATCTCATTCCTCATTTTGAATCATGAAGCTCGCATTGACTCTTCCCTTCTTTGGGCTTTCTATGGCCCAATACATCAGTTGGGCTACTTACAGGGCTAACGGTGTGAATTTGGGCGGCTGGCTCTGCCAGGAATCCACCATCGACACGACATGGTGGGCAGCAAACTCCAAGGGCGCCGAGGATGAATGGGGCCTCTGTGCCAACCAAGGCAGCCAGTGTGGCCCGATTCTTGAGCGTCGGTATGCAACCTACATCACTCCCAGCGACATCGACAAGCTAGCGGGCGCAGGGGTCAACACACTGCGCATACCCACCACCTACGCTGCTTGGGTTCAGGTTCCTGGATCGCAGCTGTACAGCGGCAACCAGGTCAGCTTCCTCAAGAACATCGCCACGTACGCTATCACCAAGTACAAGATGCATATCATCATCGATGTGCATTCGCTCCCCGGCGGCGTGAACGGAATGCCCTTCGGCGAGGCCTCTGGCCACTTTGGCTGGTTCAATAACCAAACCGCCTACGACTACTCCCTGGAAGCAATCGACGCCGTCATCGACTACGTGCAGAACCAATCCGGCAACTCTGCGTCGTACACCATCGCTCCGATCAACGAGCCAGTCGACAACATCGCCGCCTTCGGCGCCCCCGCCGCACTCACCGACAGCGGTGCCGCATACGTGCTCAAATACATCCTCGCCGTCAACAACAAAGTCGCGGCCGTGAACCCCAAGATCCCAATCATGTTCCAGGGCTCCTTCCGGCCCGAATCCTACTGGTCGTCGAAGCTGCCCGCCAACGCCAACGTCGTGTTCGACGTTCACAACTATTACTTCGCGGGTCGCAGCGCGTCGGGGGCCAACATTACCGAGTACATCTGTGAGGATGCGGCGGCGTCGGCGGGCGACGGAAAATTCCCGGTCTTCATAGGCGAGTGGTCGATCCAGGCTGAGCTCGATAATACATTCGCGGGGAGGCAGAAGGCGCTGAACACGGGCTTGTATGCGTTTGCGCAGTATACCCGCGGCAGTGCATACTGGACGGCCAAGTTTTCTGGAAACGCAACTGTGGATGGCGAGGGGACCCAGGCGGATTATTGGAATTATTTGTACTTTGTGAACAGTGGCTTAATTGACCCGAGCCAGGGGGCTGGGGTCTGTTCTTAGGTCTTGTGTACAAGCTTCAGGTGGATGTTTGGGGACGGGCGGCAATGAAAGACAGTTTGAGGGTGCAAACGTAACCAGTAGATACATATATATGGATATCGAGACGTATATATGACTTGCAGGTAGGCATTTCAAAGAGATGAATTCTAGTACCCATGTTCAGCAGCATGAAACGAGGACCTTGCCGGCTATCTTGACAGTTATCTTTTTCGGCCCAAGTCAGCACAGCCGAGACGAACTCAACTGTTTGATTGGTGAAAGCAAAACCAGTAGGGGAACCAATTCACAACCTCTCCAATGCGTTTTTAGGCATCGAGATTCCAGTCATCGTTCGTCGGATCCAGCCTGCGGAATCCGCGGGTGCGGCGGTCTAGGCTGTCAACGGGCTCGGAGCCCGCGGGTTCCCTCTTTCGTGAGAACAATCAATCTACTTCATGTATCCTGGCCAGCCCACCCCGAGCCAGATCATCCTGTTGATCGGCGTAACACAATGGCTGCTTCATCATGAGCACTTCACCGACAGTCCAAGACGCCGCTGCATCTCCACCATCACCTACTCCACAAACAGATGAATACTCCAAACCATCTAACACCGGAACTCATCCACATCCACAGAGCGGCGGGCTCAAGAGCTACCTCCGCATCTTCAGCTATGCCGACTCCTTCGGGTGGACGCTCAATGCGCTCGCTCTAGTGGGAGCCATTGGTGCGGGCGCAGCACTTCCCCTGATGGATCTTCTCTTCGGAAAGATGCTTACGACGTTTAATGACCTTGCGACAGGGCAGAGCTCGCCAGAGAAGTTTCGGGATAGTTTGGATAGATTTTTGTATGTGCATTTATTCCCCTTGTCCTATTGTTCTAGGTGCTGCCACACCCATCCATCGGTCTAATCTGCCTTCCTTACTCAGGCTTTACTTTGTGTATCTCTTCATCGGAAAGTTTTCGTTGGTTTATATCTGGACAGTACGTTCCTCTACCCAGTACCCAGTATCCAGCTACAACACCTTCCACGCCTATGCCAACCCCGCTGTTACTCCAGCTCTCCATCTCTATCTCCGCCCTCCGCACAACCAAAGCCCTCCGAACCGCCTTCCTCACCCGGCTTCTCCAACAACCCATTTCCTTCTTCGACGCCTCCCTCGGCGGCTCCCCCGTCACCCACGTCACCACAAACGCCAACCTAATCAACAGCGGAACCTCGGAGAAACTCGGCTTCGTCCTCCAGGGCACAGCAACCTTTGTCGCAGCCTTCATCACCGCCTTCGCCGTGCAGTGGAAGCTCACGCTCATAACAATCTGCATTGCGCCAGCGATCCTGATCATCACGACAATCTGCTCCGCGTTCCTCGTGCAAGCTGAGAATGCCATTCTGCGCGTGGACTCGCACGCAGGGAGTTTGGCGGAGGAGGTCCTTGCGAGTATGAAGACCGTGCATGCATTTAATGCGTTCGAAGCTTTGACGGGTAAGTATGAGGCGTTTGCAGGCGAGGCGAGACGGCTGGGGATTCAGCAGTCGGCAAATATGGCGATCCTCTATGCGGGGGAGTTCTTTTGTGCGTATGCCGGGTACGGATTGGCGTTTTGGCAGGGGATTCGCATGTATGCACGTGGGGAGATTGATGAGCCGGGGGCGGTTGTTACGTGAGCTCCCTTTCTTTCATTTTTCTCCTCTCTTTCCCCTGACTACCCGGCTTGAGATCTTTCTGCCTAACTTCCTTGTGTCTTGAACAGGGTCATCTTCGCCGTAATCCTCGCCGCAACGTCCATGACCCAAATCGCTCCGCAAATCGTACAAATCACCCGCGCCGCCTCCGCAGCGCAGTTCATGTGGGAGGTCATCGACCACGAGCCGAGCATTGACGCACTCTCGACGTTGGGGAAACAGCCCGAGACCTGCCGCGGCGAAATACAGTTCTCGAACATCGCCTTCTCATACCCGACGCGGCCGCAGGTCCGCGTTCTCGAAGACTTCACCCTCGCTGTACCTGCCAACAAGACGACGGCGTTGGTCGGGCCGAGTGGGTCTGGGAAGAGTACGATCTCAGCGCTATTGGAGAGATGGTATGATCCGCTTGAGGGCGGCGTGTTGTTGGACGGGATGGATATCCGCGAGCTGAATGTGAGGTGGTTAAGGACGAGCGTGAGGATTGTGCAGCAGGAACCGACGTTGTTCAACGGAACAGTATTCGAGAATGTGGCGTATGGTCTTGCTGGGACGGAGTATATTAATGCTTCCCGCGAGGAGCAGCTGGAGAGGGTTATTGAGGCTTGCAAGGCAGCGTATGCGCATGAGTTTATTGAAGGCTTGCCTGAGGTACGAAGCACAGATTCACTCTTTTTCTACTCTCCTTTTGGAACGACGACCGACTCACCCGAGAAAATAGGGCTACGACACCCGTGTCGGCGAACGCGCGAGCGTCCTGTCCGGCGGCCAGAAGCAACGGATTGCAATCGCTCGAAGTATCGTCTCGGATCCAAAAGTGCTCATCCTCGACGAAGCTACCAGCGCGCTTGACCCGCGCGCCGAGAAGATCGTGCAAGAGGCTTTGGACAATGTTTCCGCGTGGCGGACAACAATCGTCATTGCGCATAAGCTCTCTACGATCAGGAAGGCAGACCAGATTGTGGTTCTCTCCAAGGGGAGGATCATTGAGAAGGGGACGCACGATGAGCTCAACGCGGCGGGTGGGATGTATCATCGGCTGATCGAAGCCCAGGATCTCGGCGCAAATAAGACTACTGACGTTGCATGGCGTGAAGAGCAAGAGACTGAAGAGGACGCTCTGGTCACGAACATGCCCTTTGTGGAGGCGGAAAGCCCAAGGGACACTAGTGCTCTCGAGCTTGAGACTGACTCTATCGACAGCCAGAGCCTCCTGCGCTGTATCGCAATCCTCGTGAAGGAGCGGCGCGAGCTGTGGATGGAGTTTGTGATTGTTGTGATCGCTTGTATTGTTGGAGGTACAGTACTCATGTCTTGCCTCTTCTGGGAGAATTAATGGCTGACAGCCTTCGTAGGTGGAAGTTATCCAGTCCTCGCGTTCGTCTTCGCCAGATCTCTCGACGCCTTCCAGATTGCAGACACGGCAGAAATGATCGACCAAGGCGAGTTCTACGCGCTCATGTTCTTCGTCATCGCACTCGTCATCCTTGTCGTGTACGCAATCCTTGGTTGGGTAACCAACATCATCTCAACAGTAAGCGCCCTTCCCTCCCTGTACGGGACAGCCAATACCAACTAACACGTACAGACCGTTGTCTACACCTACCGCATGCAGATTTTCCGCAGCTACATAACCCAAGACATGACCTTCTACGACCAACCCTCGCACACAACGGGCTCACTCGTCTCACATCTCTCAACAAAACCCACGAGCCTACAAGAACTCCTCGGCTTCAACATCGGCATCATATTAATCGCCGTCGTGAACATCGTCTCCAGCTCGATTCTTTCCATCGCCGTCGGCTGGAAACTGGGTCTCGTTGTTTTGGCTGGCGCCATGATCCCCATCACATTCTGCGGGTATCTTCGGATAAGGCTGGAGACGCAGCTTGAGAAGAGTACGGGCGATCGGTTTGCGGAGAGCGCGGCGCTCGCGGGAGAAGCGATTTCGGCGATTCGCACCGTTGCGTCGTTGGCGATTGAGCCGGTAATATTGGACAGGTATAAGGGGATTCTGAGAGGCATTGCGCGGAGGAGTATCCGAGGTTTGGTGTGGACGACGGCGTGGTTGGCGCTCACGCAGTCGCTTTCGTTGTTGTCTATGGCGTTGAGCTTTTGGTATGTATCCTCCTTTCCTTTCGCTGTTGAATTTACTTGGTCTAATACACGGTATAGGTACGGAGGGCGACTGCTCTCGACTGGCGAATACTCTAGCACGAAGCTATACATAGTTGTTATTGGAGCTATCCTCTCGGGAGAGGCAGCTGCATCATTCTTCATGTTCACGACTAGTACGGACCCATACCCTCTGTGGAATTTTCAGCGCTGACTAACCAGCTTCCAGGCCTGACAAAGGCGCGAGGAGCATGCAACTACATCTTCTGGCTCCGCTCTCTGGTCCCGAGTGTGCGAGATGGGGGTTTGGAGGACGACCACCCCAGCCATAGCACCCCCGAGAAAGACCAAAACCATGCAGCCAGCTTGGAACTACAAGATATCGAGTTCCGATACCCAACCAGACCGAACCGGCCCATTCTGACGGATCTCAACATTAAGGTAACGCTGAGCCATCCACCTAAGTATCCTCTCTGGGTACGGAAACAAAACGGATAACTGACTGACGATAACCAGGTCTCCCCTGGCCAATCCATCGCTTTCGTCGGCCCCTCCGGCCATGGCAAATCAAGTATAATCGCCCTGCTAGAGCGCTACTACAACCCGTCCTGTGGCCGCATAACCCTCGACGGAACGCCCGTCACCACTATCCCGCTACAAACCTACCGCACGCACCTCTCCCTCGTCCAACAAGAACCAATCCTGTACGACGGCAGTGTCCTCGAAAACATCACCCTCGGCATCCCGAACCCCTCCTCAATCCCCGAATCTGAGATCCACTCCGCCTGCCACCAGGCAAACGCATTCGATTTCATATCCTCCCTCCCCAACGGCTTGTCCACGCCCTGCGGTGCACGCGGGTCCCTCTTCTCCGGCGGACAACGCCAACGCATCGCGATTGCGCGTGCGCTTCTCCGAAAGCCGAGACTTTTACTTCTCGATGAGGCGACGAGTGCGCTGGATACGGAGAGTGAGAGGGTTGTGCAGGCGGCGTTGGAGCGCGCGAGTGTGGGGAGGACGACGATTGCGATTGCGCATCGGCTTTCGACGGTGAAGGGGAGCGATTGTATCTATGTGCTTGTTCGGGGACGGATTGTGGAGAGCGGGACGCACGAGGTTCTGCTCGCGAGGAGGGGGGTGTATTATCAGATGTGCTTGGGGCAGGCGTTGGACGGGGCGGGGTGAGCTGGTTTTTCGGCTACGTCGATCGTGACTAGTTTATTGGATAGAACACGCCTCTCTTTGCAGAATACCATGAATCTCTTCTCAAGCACACGTTGCCTGGTCTTTCTTGTTTCCTTGGGTCGTGGAAGATGAATCCCCTTGCCTTGCCCGATAACCGCATTCACCGAGAAAACGCCCTTCACCAACCAGGAAGCGGTCTATAAACCCTAACCCTAAATTGCGAAACAAAGAAGATAGATACAGTATCTAGGATGCCTTAAATCTCACATCACCCTATCTCTTCCCCGCACATCCACCCAAATGCAAACCAGCTTATCCTACCTTCTGCGCGATGAAGCTGGGCTGTCTGCAAGAGCTGTATTCCTTAGGGGAATGGATAGGAACATCATTGCCTTAGCAACGCGACACGCGACGCGTTTTCTGGCATTCTCTTTTAATTAGATCCTTCCTACATTCGTGGGGTAACTTTTTCAAACTAGTCAAGGTAAATGCGAGAAACTTCTGAATGTCTATTAAAAGAATGCCTAGAAGTTCTATAGGAAGCGCTCAAGGAGACGTTAGAAGGGAGGTTGATGGATAAAGATGGTGGGGAGATGCGAATGAGTTAATTGTTAACGGCGCTAAGTACTGGGTGGAGTCTGGCCCCATGGCCTGGCCACTTCTAGTGCCCAGTTTGCTCCTGGGACATTACCACCACCAAAATCTGTCGAGTTGCTTACTTTGAGATTCTAGTATGCTAAGTACGTAGAAGACGGATTATTATCAGGCTTATTGGAAGGCTTTGACGCATACAGTGACATTAATTACCACAAAACCAATGAGTATCGCACAATTCCCGTTTCTTCACCATAGGTCGGTCTCCGTGCCCAAGCCCTTCATGGGCCAAGTAGCAAATCAATACCGAGCCACGCAGCCTCCCACAGGGGCAGCCCCGGCAGCAGCAGGGGCATCGTTGGAAGCAGCAGGCTTGGGAGCAGCAGCAGGCGCAGCGGTGGGAGCCGCCTTGGGCGCGGCAGCGGGGGCTGCCGAAGGGGCAGCAGCAGCGGTCTCACCAGCCGGGCTGGCCTGAGGCTGGGCGTCGCCGCCCTTGGAAGCCTGATCCGACCAGCTCTTCACACCCGCCTCAATCGCATCCGAGATGCCACCGGCAACGGTACCGGCCAGGCTCTGCAACGACTCGGGCACCTTGGAGACAATCGTGTCGGACAGCTTCTCCGCCGCGGCCTTTTGCTCGGTCAGGTCGTTGTAGGTCTGGGCGCCTTTTCCGGCCTCGACAATCAAGGTCTTCTTGTTGTCGAGGTCGCTGATGACGGTGGAGATTTTCTTCTTGAGGGTGTCCACGGGCCCGGGGAGGCCCAGGGCGTCGGTGGAGCTGAGGGCCGAGGTGCCGCTGACCTGGCTGTTGCCGCTGTTGATTGCGCTGACCAGGTTGTCGGAGGCTTGCTGCACGCTGGCCACGTCGCCGCCGCTGTAGGCTTGGATGGCGGAGCCCAGGGCGTCGACCTTGGTGCCGATGCCGGAGAGGACGCCGGTGACGGTGGGCAGGTCGCGCTCAACCTTGGTGGGAGCGGCGAGGGTACCGGCAGCGAGGCCGACGGTGAGGGCAGAGAGAATGGAGACCTTCATTGTGGATGGGTCGTTGATATTTAGGTGAGGATATTAGGGTTGCGGGATCGAAGGTCAGGCAGGATGATTGTTGAACGGTGGAGGAGAAGGTCGACTTCGGAGGACATTCGGGTGTCTTTATAGTCCTGTGGTACAGTAATGATAGCATGGTTCGTCAAGAATTGTGTTGATCGAACCCCTAGCTTTGAGGATATGATACAGTGATGTGCAAAGGGCTCAATTTTAAGATGTTGTATGATCGACAGGAACTGGCCCGCCGGCGGTCAGAGATGGCTGAGATTCCGGGGAAATCGACGCTCGTGCCAGGAATCGGGTGTTTCGGGCGGCCGGATTCGGTCAAGTCAAACCCGTTGCTCTCATTTTTCAGCTAACTCGGGTTCAGTACCAAAATCAAAATGTCTCATAGGACAAAAGTCAATTTTTGCTCTTGGTCGGTGCTCGCTCTCGACGGGCCGCCGCAGCCCTATCCGCAGGTCACGTTCAGGGGCAAAAGGCAGCAAGCAACCAGGACCTGCGTAGGAATTAGTTGAGTTCGCAACATCCACAGGATTATGAATTTCTTCTTCTCAGCAATTCCCCCTCCACTTGACCGGCAGCCACCTATAACAGGAATTAAAATAAATATAAATGGATCAATGCGATAGAGGGGCCCGATGGCCTGCTAATCCGATGGACATCATGTGACCTCTTCCAGGCCCTGCGTCGACACCACCCTCCTATCATCCCTCACCCCCAGCTTCACCTGTTCCTGAGCACGAAACCACGCTAGTGTGAGGCGGGGGCTCTCCTTCCAAGTCAGCTGTTTGCCAAACTTTTGTCGTTAAACTTGGCGAACCTAGGCCAATCCCTTTTCGACTAATGCTCGAACCGGAACCCTCCCCTCCACAAGTTTGACACACACCCGCACGCACACACAACCAACAACGGCACCAGGACAGCCAGTCGGATCCAGGGGCCTAGAGGGCTCTGGCCAAAGTGTGGAAAGTTCATCCCAAACGCGGATGTTACAAAGGAGATTGGTAAGGAGAGAAAAGGTAATAAGTCTGTTGGGCCATGCGATCGAGGTGAAATCAAGTGGAAACGTTCTTTGCTTCTTGGACAGTCTTGCTGCTAGTAGTGCTGGCATGATAGATGCTATCTCGTAGTCGTTTTCGTATACTGAGTTTATGATACTCCGGTAAAACCTCTGCAGTAAGATTAATTCTTAGATCATACGTAATTTAGTAGTAACCCTTGGTATTCAGAATAAGTTGTTAACAGAATGCTGGGCCTTCTCGGAAGCTTTCTACCTAAGTAAGACGGGTGACACCAGCAAGTTCCTCGTTCTGTAAGGAGAACTCGAGTAGACGTGGCTATGCAGGACTAGGAGCTTGAGGTGTACTAGACGAACAGATACCCCGAACGTACTAGTTGTCACGCACATGATCATGATGACGGCAAACATCTGGTTGCGAGTTCTTCCACGTTCTCGTTGAATCCACTCGGTATGTAACGGTCATCGTTGTGCCATGGGCCAGTTCGTTGCTGATCGCACGCGGATACTAGATACTACGGGAACCGGACGGTTCCATGGGTCGGTGTTGAAGTCATCGACCCAGGCTTCTAAGCCACACGACGAGTATTTTTCCATTCAAGTATCTCGAGGATGTTACTTGTTACTTGATTGACCATAAAAAACTAACAAGACGGAATCATACCCTGCGAAAGGCCGGATATCCCAGATAACCCGTGAATTCTCAAGGCAGCCAAGTCCGTCCCCGACGTAACGGCAGGTATGCCACAACGTCAAAGTCAAGGGGCCTTTCCACCGGTAATCCAGCGCAAAGTGGGCGTCGAGAATGCCATTCTGACACCAGCCTAGGGGGGTAATCCTAGTGAAGCCCAAGCAGCAGACAGGTAAGTAGTAGTCGTCGAACTGGCCTGATTTCTCGGACAGCCACAACGCTCACGCAGAACCCCCTTCTTGCTACAGTTACTACAGCAATGGCAGCAGCTTCATGGAGTGGGCCTGGGGTACGTCCTTCCATGTGTGCCGTCGCTGCCCGGGCGAGTCGGTGCAGCAGGCCATGATCCGTCACGAGCATTATCTCGCCCTCCGACTGGGCCTCCAGCCCGATCAGAAGGTGCTGGACCTGGGGTCGGGCCTCGGAGGCCCCGCGCGCGAGCTCGCCCGCTTCGCCGAGGTGGACATCTGCGGGGTGGAGATCAGCGCCGCGCAGGTCCAGCGCGCGACGCGGCTGACCGAGCAGGCCGGCCAGGCCGACCGCGTGCGCTTCGTGGCCCGGGACTTCACCGCCACGCAGCTGGAGCCCGACTCCTTCGACCGGGCGTACTCCATCGAGGCGACGTGCTACGCCCCGGACCTCACCGCCGTCTACGGCGAGGTCTTCCGTCTCCTCAAGCCCGGGGGCATCCTCGCCGTCTACGAGCTGGCCATGACGGACCGATACCAGGCCACGCGCGCCGACCACCGCGAGTGCCACCGCGACCTGGAACGCGTGGCCGGCTGTCCGCATCTCCGCACCACCGCCGAGGTGGTCGACGCCATGCGAGCGGTCGGCTTCGAGCTCCGCGCGGCGGAAGATCTGGCCGATTCCGCCGCCGCCGCCGCAGGCTTGCCCTGGTACCAGCTCATTGACGGTTCGTTCAAGTGGATGGGCGGAGCCGTGGAGACCCTTGCCTGCGGGCTCGTGGCGGCGTTTCTGCGGCTCTTTTCCTCGCGCTGGGGCGGTCGGTTCCTGAGCGCGGGCGAGATGCTGGGCCTCCTCGCTCCAGGAACCCGGGGTCGCGTCGTGGACATGGTGAGGGTGATGAATGCGTATCGGGTTGCAGGGGAGAAAAAGTTGGTCACCCCGATGTTTCTGATGGTAGCTCGAAAGCCAAAGCTTCGACCAATGGCCTCGGAATGAGACAGGCGAAGCGCAGCTTGGTAACAGGTCGTCGCTGAGGAATGGAAGACTGCCCTGAAGACTGTGCTGCCAGGGCCTTAAATGGAGCGGACAACTTTTCAAAAAGGGGAATCCTGTTCTTGGTAAAGTCTACCCAACACAAAAATAGGATTTTATTCATAGCAAAGTGTTTGCCTTTCAAAAATGGGCCCTCATTTCTGCCCTAGTGTGTCTCCTGGACCCCGCCTGGGCCAGTCGTCGGCTATTGCGGAAAGGCTGTTAGGCCCGGGTGTCGGGTCGGCACACCACTGCAGGGTTCACGCCCATCGGCAGAGTTGGGTGAACCAAGTCCGATCACTTCCACCCCCTAAAAATCATTGACCAAGCCTCCACCGCAGCTGCTTTTAGTTGATAACTGCCTACCTAGTAGTAGGCATCTGTTGGAGTCCCCTGCCTCCGTCGGCCACGACACTACTTTTGGAAGATGATGCATGGTGACGATAGGTTTACCGGACTCATCAACAGCTTGGATATAATTTCCACCCTTTGTGATTTATCGACAGGCTTTGCAGCTTCTAGTTCGCCCCTTCTGATGATTTCCCTGGTACTTGTCGACTGAGCGAAGCAGGATCAAAATCCGATGGCAGGGCTGATTTGTGTAGTATACCTCAATAGCAATCGGCTGGGTTTGGTCTTCTAGATTACCTTTTCCTTCTAAGTATGCACCCTCTTTATGTAGCTTCACTGTCGCACAATCATTCTTCCGGTGGAAGAAACTGGGCCCGCCGCACTCCACACAATTCAGATTCTTGATCAATAAACTGTAGGAGGGTTGACTAAAAGAAAGAAAGATGTATGACTGCTGCTTATCCAGAATAAATTAGGTTTTCCGCGCCAAAACAGTGTTGCTTTTCGCTGTCCCGAGGGCTTGTTTTCCAGCGCTGGCATGCCACCTAGTCCCCAGTCATACAGACATCTGTTGCCAAACATGCCGATTAATGACTGTGATACTATAGTTGTGTAGGTAACCTGATTACCGCTGACAAAAAAAAAGGGTTGTTTCGTAACCCAACTCTAACAGATGTCCTAGAAGCTCGAGCATAGTGGTCCTTACCCCGAGCTGAAAACCCGGCTACCACCAACTAACCAACTTAATTTCAATGACATCACAACCATCCTCCACCGCATCCCCCAACTTCCCCCTTACCCCATACCTTCACCACTCCAGCACCCCAAACCCCACCCCAACAGACACAAAACACACACAAAAACCATCTCAAACCCAGCATCACAGCTCACAAAACCCAGCCCCAAAATCGCAGCCCCCACAGCGGGGCTCTGGGGCCGCAGCGCCCTAGAACAAATACGGCAGGTGGGGCCATATTTTAGTTTCGAGTACAACTGTACAACAACAGCCGCGGTGGTGTAGTGGTATTAACATTGCAGAGCCCCCGTACTAGCCTTATGCTAGCGGTGTGGAGTGCAGATTCTGGGTTCGAGTCCCAGTCGCGGCAATCTTTTTTTGGGGCTTGCGTGAGGGGTAGGACGTCATTGGGGCGTCATAGGGGCATTGTGCGATGTAGGGGTCTTCGTAGAGGGGGTTGGTGGTGAGATTGAGGGTATTTCCCCTGTTCATGTGCTCTATCAATGATGCTTTGATGGCATTTGATGTGTTTATACTAATTGAATGCAGATGCCCGAGCTCTTCATGACATTCACACTATGAGAAATGGTGGGCATGCTGAGAGTCCCTTGACGCTACAGTTTCTTTCCTGCTATCAAGAATATTCAACATTGCCCTTCTCATGTCCACTGGCGCAAAGGCTTGACTGTCGTCCTGGTGGAACCCGCCGGTCCGTCCCGGCGACGCCCCGCCCCGCCCCCGCCGTAACCATTTCTCAAGCCTACAAATGGAATGGGTAACGTAGTGATCCCGCCGTGTCAGTCGGGTTTATATCTCATCGGTATTCCAATAGAGCCTTACAGGGATGGGAATGTATTGGATCGTAGCGTGTCTTTGCCTTCACACTTCAGAGCTCTGGATTAATGATGTGAGGTTGACCCCTACTGAATGATGCGTGCATGATTCTAGCCACACATAAGAAAGCCCGACCATTGGCTCATCCTCACTCTCACGTTTCTCTCAAGAAACCACAACCCTCACCCCCTTCGATTCCCGTCTTGGCACCCCTACAAAGACATCATGATCGTACGCCACATCCTCCACGGTCGTCTGGAACAGTTTCGTCCGGGGGAGCACTCGCACCGCGAGGGCCGCCATTGCCACGTACAGGTTACAGTATGCGAGACTGATGGTCATAGAGATTAGCATGGAGTTTGAGCACAGTTGTACTCAGTTTATAGCAAGGCTGAAACATACTTGATTCCAACGCATGAGCGGCTTCCCCTCGAAAACGAAGTCAAACTCGTCTCCATCCGGCGGCGCTGGGCTTCATCCGCCTCAAGCCACCGCTCCACCCTAAAAGTATGCGAATCTGGAAACACTTCCTCATTGTGGTGATTGATCGCATTGGACATGCCGACGGGCGTGCCGGGGGGAATGTCGTAGACGATCTCGCGCCCCTGGAACCGTCCACGGTAGACGAGGCGCTCGTTCGGCGCAATCCGCGGGCTCCGCGGGCTGACTCCGTAGGACAGGCGGAGTGCCTCGGCGATAACCGCGCTCAGGTAGGGTAGTTTCTCGAGTTCGTTCCACGTTCGGTTGGTGGCGTCGGCGGCTTGGAGTTCCTGCACAAGGCGGGCAAGCGTCTCTGGCTGGTCCAGGAGGTAGTAGGTTGCGACTGTAAGGGTCCACTGTATGTTTGTTGAGTACTGAGAACCGATCTGAATGTTGAAAGGGTGGTACTTACGGCGGTTGTCTCTGTCCCCGCGGTGTTCAGCGACAAACCGTCCCCGGTCAACCGGTAGTCGGTCCTTTCGGCCTCCGGCAACGAAGAAGTAAGCAGCGCGTGGAAGATAGTCGGCCGGCTGGGGATGATCCCCGTCTCGAACTCCCGCCTCGCTTGGCGCACGCGAGCCGGCATCTTCTCCGTCGACTCCTCCATGTAGACCTGCAACGATCGGGGCAGCCATCTCCACAGGAACGGGACTAAAGGTACCAGAAGTTTGGTTACAGGTATGAACCGAAAGAGAAAGATCGTCTCCAATAGACCCACAACGGCGTCTCGGAAGTTGGGCTCCCAGCCCTCCTGCTCCACGAACCCGAAGGACTCGCCAAAGCAGTAGCCGGAGATAACGTCCGCGGTGAAGCAGCTATACGCGGTGGTGATGTCGAGTGGTTCGTGGTTCTTGGTGCCTAGGAAGTGGGTTTTCAGCAAAAGTGTTTACAACGGAGAGGGTATATATCCCTACCGAGCCGGATAATCTTGTCGCAGAGCTGGTCGGTCAGCCTCTTGACTTCAGGCTCCAGCCGCGCAATCTGTGCACGCGAGAAGAATTTGTTCATCGCGCCGCGTCGGATGCGATGGTGTTTATGGTCAATGGTCGCAAACATCGCCTCAGCAGTAGGGCCGGTGGCAAAGGTGACATAGTGAACCTGTTTGTCTCGTGGGCGCCCGGCGGTGGGGTACACCTCGTCAATGAAATTGGGGTCGTTGAAATGTAGCTCCTCTGGGTTGATGCGCACCACCGGACCTGGTCTCTCGGCGTCAGATACAGGACCAAGCGTGGCAGCGGTACAACGAACCATAAATTTCGTGCAATCGTCTGATCTCGTGGGTGAAGCGACCCCCTCTAATTAAATCAAACCAAGCCTCATACAGAAAGGTGGCAGCTGCGAGCTTCGGGCCTGGAATGTGGCTGAGGGGGTGGAAGGGGGAGACATTGTACAAGGCGCGGACGAGACGAGACGCAACCCAGATCCCCACCAAGTAGAAAAAGCCTGTGGGGCTAAGTATTGTCGAAGAGATAGAGAGCATAGTGAGAGGTGTGCGTGTCTGAATTATTGTAATTCTGGGGGGTTTCTCTCACCGTCAGTCTAGGCTTATATTATTTCACCACCGTGAGGGGACATGCATATGTGACATCAAATATAAGCCCGTATTGTTATCGAATCCAGTATGGCCAATTTTAATCTGCAAGGATATCAAGCATGTAGGCCAATCATTCCTCTGGGATTGGCTCTCCTCCCGTGCACCAAGCGAGTGGCACTAATGCAGACCCCGCAGCAGTGGGACGCTGAAGGAAATAGACTGGACGAGGATGGTCTGCACGATGGGGCCCAGGACGTCGCTTAGGAATGTTACCTACGCCGGATAAATTTGCATTGGCTTCTGGGACAGACAGACGTGTGCGTGAAGGATTAGCCAAACCCCGCATGTAGATAGGCGAAAGTCCGATCTTCGTCTATCGAATTTTGGGATCTTTATTTTTCTTGATGCTGGCCACATAAGTAATAAGAGGGTTAGCAGATGTAAGCCACGTGCTTGTGCAGCTCCTTCCCCCCGAGCAATGTTTATTCATGATGCTATGGGTCGTTCCCCGTAATGGTAAAATTATCCGGCGAGAGAACTGACCCTCCTTGTTATCTCCGAGTCTTCTCGGATATAGCGGTTGTCCGATGCCATTACTGAAAGAATATCAAGCATTGGCTCATGTTAACCCCTGAGGAAAACATACAAAGGGGGGTAAATACCACTTCTACGGTGAAGAGAGATTGAATTTTTTAATTTATATATTTTTATACCTTACCTTCGGATAAAACAAGGTTGAATGGAAGCCTTAATGCATTCGAAGCTTGACCCCGAACAAGATCTGTGATATTGGTGCAATAAAGTGGGATAGAGACTCTTACCTTCATCACATACAACCACACATTGGCTAGTGTTGTTCTACCTTCGTGTACGCAGCGTATTACGTCTCAGACTATCGATGAAGTCACAGCATGTGCCGAGTTACGTCTTATGCATTTCCTTCCAGGTCCGTGACTCCAGGTACCAAACTCTAATAGGTATGACAGGTCAACGGGTTGCACTGTATTGCCATCGCAAGTACTACCACCGCAGGCTTTCGTGCTGTACTCCTTTTTCGGTTGTACAACTTGACTTTGAGTCTAAATACAACCAACACCACCGGCCGCGATTACCACCCACTTTCTGCTTACTTGTTATCGAGATCCAGCCTCAGCCACCAAAGTCCTGCTTTCTCTTGTATTCACATGTCTAGGCACAATCTCAACACACTTTCATGAAAATGAAGCTTGCTTACACTATCTTCACACTACTTGCTATAGCATCGAAACTGCTGGGGAAACCTATCTCCGAAGGCAGCTCTCAGCAAGACGTCCATCCCGCCGCAACCCCAGATAGCCCACTCCGGAAGATCGACTCAAACATCGGCGTTGACGATGTGATCGCCACTCTTCTCCATATCGGCGTCGATGTTGTTACTCTTGATAAGACCATCTCAGCGCTTCAATTTACGAAGGACAGCATCCCGCTCCTCCAGTCCCAAACCCGGGCCATCACCGACTCCCTCGACACATTGATTGCCCAGACGCTCCTTCTCAGCCATTTGAGTCCTATCGAGAGCACCCGGGTGACTGCAAACACTGTCATCTTGAAGCCGACCTATACTCATTTGCTGAAGGTGATTTCGGAACAGGTTAGTATGGTTCCTCCAGATGTAGGCTTGAATTCTATTAAGGCTAAACATGTGTGCTTGACAGAGACTCACTCTCTGCGCTATGCAGTATTGCAAGGAAATACACGACTGGGTAGGGCAGTTTCGCATCAAATTGCTGGTCTCGACGGTAACCGCCAATGCCATCCTCGTGCTCCCGGATGCGGTTTTAACCGAGGCGGCGTGGGCGGTTCAGGATCGGGAGTTTCCACCTGTTCTAGCGGCCTCTCATGGACCTTACAACTAGAAGCTCAGTTAGGCTCTCAATTGTGTGAATAGAGGCAGAGTCTGGCGAGGTTGTGTCTTGCGTAAGGCGTGATCATGCAGTTGATGGTTGGACACACAGCTGTGCTGGAAGTGTAATGTCTTGCTTAGTCATATATACCTGCATAAGTCAGCCACTAGTTAGGCAATCACCCGCTCGGCTCCAGGCTGGCATCAACCACTGGCACTTCTCTCCGAATACCCCCCATTCTACATTCTACATTCTACATCCTACATCTCTCGTTTCGCAAATGTCTCGGCAAGCCAACGACTCTCAATCTCGCGCACGCACGCGTCTTGCATGCGACTCCTGCTTTCGCAGAAAGGTAGGGCGCTCACCCCCCCCTGAAGCCTGTTTCTAATAATATCCAGATAAAATGTTATCGGGACAGGATTCCGTGCGAATGGTGCTTGCAGCAGGGCCTGCAATGTACCTTCGATCGCAACCACCGATTCAACCAGCCTTCCTCAACGGACGATCACGTGTATGTACTTCGCGGTCTATGCCCAAGAAACGCTAATAATTTCATCGAGCAGATTGTTGTTTCCAATGGGAGGACAGCAGCAAGCACCAGAGGGACCGGCGAATGGATCCACAGCTCAGGTCAAGTCACCTTCTGACTCGAATACCCAACGAGGATCGTCCCTTCGCTCACCTGTCGCCATCGATCACATTATGGGACATGTTCCGACTCATCTTCGTGCTTCTAATGGACTGCCCTTCTTCACCACCGAAAGTCGGCAGTGGATGGAATCGCGCACCGGTCAGACCATTGATTTCGATCGCCTGTCTTTAAACAGTCCGCGAAGACAAAGCCAATATGTGGGCGGCTTGGCAACTACAAGGGAGTACTTCCAGACCCACAATCATCCTGACCTACCGGATAGGAGCAAGGTACTGTTGGTATTCCAGTCCTTCAGACGTTTCTGGGTGCATCGCTTTTTCCCTCTGCTCCACCCAGACCTATTTCATTACACCATGGAGGCGGCATACGAGAATAAAGCATCGGATGCTTCACCTGATCCTTCCACGGCTAGAGCCTGTATTTTTGCTTTCATGGCATTCATGAATTCTTGGCCCTTCGGTCAAGCCCTGCCCGAGGATAACAATGTTCAAGAGTATGGTCACCAAGCGCAGTATCTTCTGTCAGAGTCTTTGGATGGAGCGGCCACTATAGATGGGATCCAAGCATTGCTGATGCTCGTAAGTCAAATCCTGTGCTCATGCCCTCTGATCCATCAAGGCGGCTGTTTGTTTCTTTGAAGATTTGGGGGCGTATTGCGTCATATGCTCAGGAGTTATGGTCTCTTCTCTGGGTGGCCTGAAATCCTCTGGGCACCTTCTTCTTTCCGGCAAATTTTACATGAGCTATCCCCTCCTTGCAAGCATATTAGGGGTAAAGTCCGCTTGCTAATCACTGTTATAGTCTCTTTTTCGACTGCTCCATTTCAGTGCCCCCCACTCAGTCGACTTGTTCTTCCAGGCCTCGGTCCGCCACATTTTCACCCTTGGGGGCCATCTACATCGGCATGTCCAGAAATCACCCACTGTCTTCAACTTACACTGTCGATTCCTTTTCTGGTTAGCCTACCTTTGCGACAGGGAACTCTCTCTCAGGACCGGCCGCCCCCCAGCAATCTGCGACGATCACTGTAACCTCACTCTCCCAGATGAAGACGAACTCGCCATGGAATTTGGCTACCACGACCACCAGACCCCAGCGAATTTTAATCTTGCATTTTTCTTCCCCGCAGACATCAGGCTCAGCTTTGTTCAATCCAAGATAACTAGGAAGCTGTACTCTCCTCAAGCCGCATTAGCCTCTGATGCGGAGTTGTTGAAGACCGTTCGAGAGCTGGATGATGGATTGAATGAGTGGTATCGAAGCCTGCAGTTTCCGAACAATGACCAGGGAGTGGTATTCACCCAGGAAGAGATTTACCTGCGCTCGTGCTTGCTACAATTGCAACACCAATACTGCATTGCTGCCATTCATCAGATGAGTACGGGATGCGCGGCATGGGTAGCCGATCCCAGCAGCCGAGCCTTGGGCATCACTTTGAGCTTAGAGGTTGCGGCCAACGCGAGCCGCGCACTTCTGCGACAGTTTCTTGTCATGCAAGATGCATTAGCACAGGAGGTGTTTTGGTAAGATCCGATCCTCTCCTCCCATGCCGCGTACGATACCAACTGTCATCAGGCTGACGTTCTTTCTTCTTGGGCTACTCTCAGGTTTGAAATCTACTATGTTCTTTCAGGGGTCATGAACCTCTTTTGCAAAGTGTTGAACGATCCCGGTGACTCGCAGACGCTGAACGACGTTCACCTGCTCGACACAATTGCGGCACGTTTTTCCCGGGCGGCAGGGTCACATACTTACTTTGGCTATTGTGCTGATGTCCACTTGATGCGAGACTTCGTGGCGGAGCTATGTCGTCTTGCACGATGCGCTATTTCGAGAAGAAGACAATAAGTCGGTCTGGGAGGGATAGCAATCACAGATACAGATGATGAGGGTATTAGCTATATTGTAAAGGCCACAGTGACAGAACGCCCTCCTTTCCCTCAAAAGTTCCTCACAACCTGGCCTATCCTGCTTTGACTTCATTCTTGAGCGGATGTTCCCAGCTAACCAGCGCGTCAGGAAATGGTTCGTCCGCGGGGATATAATCCAACACTAAGGCCTTCTTCGTTGCGCGCGCGGCGATAAAGTTCACGAGGAACCACATCACCCAAGCGAAGGAAATAACATAGCGAGCCAGGAAGTGATAGTATGGACTTGCCCAGGCGTCCAATCGCGTTTGAGATCGCGAATGGTCGGCGTCGGCTTTCAACGGCGCGGCCCTGATCTTCTGGTACTCCTCGAAGACCTTGGCTAGGGAGGTCTTGTGCGGTGGTACGTCGGGACCGGTCGATCGCAGTAGCGCATGCAGCCCGTTGCACAGCGCCACCACATCCTGGATTCCATTATTCAGCCCCTGTCCCGCGTTCGGGGTGAATTTGTGGCACGCATCGCCTGCCAGAACAATCCGCCCGTCCCAGCTCCACTGCCCCAGAATCCCTTCCTCTAGATTCGCCATTCCATCAGTCAAACGCGCCGCGTACACATCCTTGACCTTCAGTGTTCTCGACACGTGGAAGTCAGCGAACCGTGCCGCATACGCCTTCATTTCTGCTTCAGTGTAGCGCATCCGCTCCGTCGTCGGCCCCATCGGTATCCGCTCGAACAGGAACACCCAACCTCGCTCCCTCCCGGCCAGAAACATGACCGACATGTCCTTGGAGTGTGTGACTGAGCCATGGCCCACCTTTACGTCAGCGGCGCTCGGTCTGGGAAAGCTACACCACAGGCATCGATACTGTGCCGGGAACGAGGCCTCGTCTTTGCATTTAAGCTGAGCCGACGGCCCCTCGGCCAGCGCCAGCTCGCGCATCAGGGTCCGCGTTTTGCTATGCGCCCCATCGGCACCCAGCACCATTGACCCCTCATACGTGCTCCCGTCGGTACACGTGACGCGTACACCGTGGTCTTGCGTCTCGATAGTCTCGAGTTTCTTGCCTAGAAAGTACCGGACTTTCGCAGCGGCAGGCAGTGCATCGTAGATGCTCTCGATAATCTGGGCGCGATGAAAGTAGGTCATGCCGGTTCCGTGGCTATTTGGGATTCGGAGATCCCATGTGTCAGTGTACGACGCCTTCTCCGAAGGGCGTGCTGTGCCTAGAGCACTTACTTCTTTTTAAACACCCGAGAGATGGCCGTGTTCTCGGCGAACGCATATCCGTCCCGCGTGAAGGAGGTGACCTGGTAGATCTCGCCACTGATCTTGGACAGTCGCGTCAAAAGACCTAATTGGTGCATCACACGCAGGCTGGGTGGTGCCAGGACCACGCTGGCGCCCTGGTCAAGGACGACCGAATCGCGGGCCTCAAGGACCACGAAGTCGATCCCAGCGTGGTGGAGGGCGTGCGCGGCGGTGAGTCCGATGGGGCCTCCACCGACGATAATGACTTTGAATGCTGGTGTCATCAGCAAGTATCACTGTAGACGTGTGTGGGGATCTGAAGCTTATGGCGAAGAGAGAAATCGAGAAATGGGCTGACCTGCCCGTGCTTTTACAATGCAGGCCTCTAATATGGTCACCCCGCCGGGATAATCCCACTGATCGACATTCTCATACCCATCCCGCTCGTTAGGTCAATGCAAGTGTGTGCATACGCGAGGTCTGATGACGTGTGTCGGGGAATCCATTGGATCGAAACCCGACAATCTCAAACGCTTCTACCCAAGGGACTGTGCGCGGCATCTGCGGTACTTGCCGTTCTCTGGCCTGATTGGGTTTGACGTCCGCTTATGCAGTCGCTGACCCGCTTGATAAGCGGACGCTAGTTCATTGGGATTTTCGATCCGTGAATGGGCCTAGGGCTTCGCTCAGATCTCATTCTCGACCATTATCTCTGTCACATTCGCTAGATACAGGCCATTGCCGTGACAGGAGAACGCCTTTGGTGGTTGGTCCTCATGATTTCGATAAGCGCTTGAGAGTAGGTCTGCTAAGCCGGTCGCATGAGATTGAGAAGTTGACGGGAGTGGCACTTGCGACTAGTGGGCTACATTGGATCGAGACAGAGAGGCTGAGGCAAATTGCAGGTTTAATTAGGGCAACTCACTGTGTAGGGCTGAAGCAGCCAACCTCAAGGTACGGACAACGTGCGTTTTACATCGTGGTTGGGTTTGAAACCTCGTATCAGCATTATTATTGAAGAAACCTCCGATGTCATGTCATGACCAACCCTACTCATGTTCCTGACGTCTTCGACAACTATAGAATCAGGTCATCAACTTGACATTCTTCCACCTGGCCGGTCCATCTGTCCACATCACGAGATCACCCCAGCCCTAACTTATTCTCCGACAAACTCTCGTGCTCCATGACCACGATCGAAAGGATCTCCTCAGAACGCCGCCAACTGACTATTTACCGCAATACACCGCCCCTCATACCCGGGATCCTGCGCCAACGCCTCCCCGACAAACGGTGAGAAGGTCAGATCCACCCCGGGCTCAAACAGCAGACAGAACGAGCTCCCGCCGTAGTGGAAACTGCCGATCTCCTGGCCCTTGACGACGCGGTCCCCGACGGTGACGGTGGCTACGCAGCTCGACACGTCCGCCATCCCGATGGCCAAGAAGCCCACCGTCCCGAGCGCCGGGTTATCGGCCTGAATCAGCACGGCAGTGCGGGTGGCCGTCGACGAGATCATCGTCAGCGAGAGATCGGGCGCCTGGCGGTCGGGGCATGACGCCTTGGTGGCAGGGTCGACGTTCTCGAAGCCCTTGGCCGGGTCGGCGGCAAAGTAGGTGCCCTTGAGATTCAGAACGTTGACGACTGTGCCGGTCACCGGGGCGTGCCAGCGGTGGTAGCTGAAGGCGGAGAGCCAGGCTTGGAAGACGGTACCGCCTGTGAAGATCGCTGAAGGGTGGGCGGTGGGGGTGTCGTTGCCGTCGCCCAGCATGTCCCGCAGCGAGTAGACGGTCCCCTTGAGCGAGAAGTGGGCGCTGGCGGGGACGTTCTTGACCAGGGCGAAGGGCTGCGACTCGCAGGGGTTGGCGATGATGCGGTCGTCCTCGGGGCCGGCGACGGGTCGCATCCCGGGTCGGAACCGCCGCGTGAAGAAATCGTCCCACGAGCGGAAGCCGTAGTTGGGGAGGGACGGGTCGCAGATGAATGCGTCGGCGAAAGAGGCCGCCCGGAAGGTGGTGTTGTGGGCGTGCACGACGACGTCGAGGAGTTCCGTCAGCGCGCCGGAGGATACCCACCCGCCCTTGCCGTTGTGGATGGCCTCGGCGGATTCAGCGGAGGCCAGGTACTGGCCCCATCTCTGGAGGATGGCGTAGAAGTGCACGTTGATGTCCTTGCGGGCGAGAATGTGTGAACCCGTTCGCGTGTTCATGAACCATATCTACGAGGGAAGGTTAGCATGTCTGAAGTCCGGCGTGGTTGATGTGGACGCAGAGAGGGAGACGAACCAGCACTTCATTCATCGGACAGGCAATCACGCAGTTCTGCTCCACCGCCGACGTCCACGAGGGCACCGTCTGGATCACCTGGTCGATGTTGTCGAGCAAGGCACTGTAGTTGCGGATGTGGCCAGGCCCAATGTGCTTGGATCTGTCCAGAAACTCCTCGGGGATCTCACTGAATGCCGTCGCAAACAGCTCGATCAGCTCTGTGTCGCTCTCGATGTGTTCCCGCAGCGCCTGAACCGTCGGGTCCTGCCGGTGGTCGAGGCAAAACATGCTTGCTTGCTTTCTCGGTGACGGTGACGGTGACGGTGACGGTGACGGTGACGGTGACGGTGACACAGGGTGAAACAGCTTTCTCAACGGAGGGAAACCCTGAAGCGTGGATCAAGAGTGCAATGCAATCGGCTGGTTAAAAAGAAAGAAAACAACCTTGACCTTGTTGACCTCGTCAACCCATGCTCGCGCTGCTCCAATTCTTCGACTCTCGGCGAGGGAAAGAGTTTCTTTTCTCCCCAAGCCGCCGGTCATCTTCCCAGCTTAAGGAATGGGGGCAGAGGAGAGGAAAATGGCGCCTTTAGCCCTCAGGCTGGCGGCACCGTGGTCCAAGTTCAAGGATTTCAAGGCGAGGGGAGACATTTTCGCTCGCCTTGATCCGCAAGGGATGCAACCCGGTCCGCCATTCGTTGGAGCTTTGGTCAGAAGGATTGGCTCGGTACTTCGTTGTGGGGTCCATCAGATCATCAGATGAGGCATGTCGCGCGCAGGAATGCTGCTCCTGAGCGGTAGTGAGGTATGTCGTTCAACAAAGAAGTTTGCCAATAAACCCTTGAGCCCCCTTGCGTGTGCGGATTCCCCCAGCCACGCGTATATCTCTCAGTTCCTCGATTGGGTGGATTTCCTCGCTCCCTGACTGTCTTTGTGCTTGGCAAGGGTTGATGAGCGTATGCTTGTACGTAATCTGGAGTAGTGGAGTCTTTTCGTTGATGCCGTCTGGAACTTCTTGAGTTGGTCGATGGGGAAAGGGGATGTTTCAAGGTGTCAGGTCTGGCTGGAGTGGCGGCATTGGATACTCTGACCGCTACTCTTGCTCAACTCACAAAACGTGTCTATTTTCGTGAACCGATCTGATCTGAACCATTCGCTTTGTCTCGATTGAGGACGATTCGGGACTTTCACTGGGCTAGACTTCTGCTCACAAGGTAGGGCCTATGCTTGTTTGGGGCTCTGCCTTCCCTAGCAGATTCTGACTTGAGAGATTTCCTTCTCAAGGCATCAGTATGCGGCATATAAAAATCGTCAGGAGTGGGCAATATTTGGTTAATGAGCCGATCTATTGATGCATGCTACGTATCTTTCTGCGAAGTGACCTGCCTGACCTTTAGGACACTTTGGACCTATCTTATGCCCACCGCCCGTCCAACGCTCTCTGCTGATTGTCTCTGTTACATTACTCTTTTCCTTATGATTCTGCTCCTGCACTTACACGATGGACTGTTGTCATAGACAGTCTACTTTATTCACGAAAGCATATAACTGACGTGGTCCCCAGACTCGTGTGTAGGTGGTTTCAAAATGAGACGCTCATGTCTTATCCTATGCATAATCCTCTCATCTCTTCTTAGAGGATCTAGCTTGATACTGGCTAGATTGGAAGGGGTATACAAAATACGTAAGCTCGGAGATTTGGACGCAAGGTATAGCTGGGTCACTTCGGGACTGGAAGACTATTTTTATCTCGCGCTGGACAGGTTCCGGGCTTGTCAGTGTCTGGGGGACCCCAGCTGTCGAGATTACTCCTGCTTCTCTTCAGTGCCCTTGGAATAAGGTTCAAGGTACACACTTCTATTCAATGGTTTGCTATTTGGTGAGACGAGGTGGGTGTCTGGCAGCTTGGTCTCGTGTGGGGCAAGCTCTTCGATTTGCTCACTACATCCCTAGGTACAGTACAGTACTTGTCCAGAGCATTAAGTTCTTTTATCCGTATCATTTTGTCACCTGGCATAGTAATTCTTCCCCGCTAACTCATGTGATCGACATACCCCTTCTTCCCCGGTCCGGTATCTACGGGGTCAAGCTGCAAAAGATACAGTTGATTCGCCACCTGACAAAACTTTTGTGAGGAAAGTCTCAGCGACTCGGGAGTAGTTGATCTAATGTTTCTGAAGAAGGATCCCACAAATCCTCAACACCCCGGCTCTTGAGCTGTAGCTCTTCACAGTATCAAGTTAGTTGTTTTTCTGTCGTTTGCCCTGAGGCTTTCGGTAATCAGGCCTACGGAAGGATATAACGGCCACTCTACAAAAGCGAATTCCCTCGCTCAGTATCCTCACTGCAATAGTAACCACCTCTAGGACTCTCTGTAACCACCCGTCCGTCCACATTGCCCCTTAAGCTTATGGGATTATACCTTTGTAAGCCCCTCCTCCTTTTCTAAAGCTCTCTCGAGCCCCGCAGAGCCCCTGGTCACGTGATATCCCAAGCCCCCCTTATCTTAGAATATGTAGGTCTTTTAGAGGCCGAAGCTCGTGTTATCGAAGCGTCTTTCTTCGTGAATTCCTTTTACCTAGGGTTTTTGAGGTTTATATAGAGGCTTGATCTCCCCAGCTCTTATTCTTCTGCCGACAGATTCTATTTTCCACAGTGGCGTACTCGTATATCCTTCCGTACTGGCCGCTCACCGCCCGCCACAGCCATGTTGTTTGGTTCCGCCCAGATTACAGCAAGTTACTTGGTGCAAATGGCCAACAAATCCGTGCAGGAAATGTCACACACGAGCTTCGCCCCATTGCGAAGACCTCATTCTACACACCGAATTTGGAATTACACCCCAGTGCTATGGATGATTTTCCACAGCTTGACCAGGCTAGCCTGGCTCGGAACTCCCATATACCGGCTGTATGTTTTAACCTTGGCCAACTGGGACCCGCTGCTAATCTATCTGTATAGTGCATTGAATGTCGAGCTCGGAAAGCAAAGGTGAAGCTCGGTCGACTGCCCCTCATTTGACGCAGGCGGACTGATACTCTGAAAGTGTACCAAAACTCGGCCATCGTGTGCGCACTGCAGACAACTGAACAAGCCGTGTGTGTATCCTAACAAGGTCGTCAGGTCGCCTTTGACACGCCGGTATGTGTTGGAGATTGGTCGTTGCGATGATGGTCCGGCTTGCTAACCCATTCCAAAGGCATCTCACCGCAGTCGAAGATAGACTGGAAACGCTTGAAACCGCCTTGAGCAAGTTGTTTCCTGGCGGTGCTCTCGATACTATCATCAAATCCCTACTCAATGATTCAGCGGATCTTCACGTGCTCCCGGGGACCCCAAGCACCGAGTTCACCTCCGTCTCCGATCTCCCGCTTGATCTCGAGATTCCTGATGCTCCACCCCTGTCTTCCATACAAGAAGGTCTGTTGCGATTTGGGGTCGTCGTGGGGATTAGCACTGACAGGATGGGATAGATCTATCACTCGACACGTTCCCCAATGGACCGACTAATCTCGTCCTGGATGCCTCCATCCCCCTGGATGACACTCTATTACCGATTCCTCAACCCGGCAGCGTCGAAACGCTCGTTCCAGACGAGGCAAGACTAGTCCGTGCTTATTTTGAACACTATCACCCGGTCTTCCCTTTTGTGCATCAATCCACATTTCTGAAACAGTACGAACATCAGCTCGATACAGCACAAGATGTTGGTTGGCTGGTTCTTCGTGATATGATTTTGGCCATGGGGTCGTGGTCACTCCAAGACGCTGGCGACTGGCGGCACAGTCACAGCTTTTCACAACGGGCCAAACGCCGGCTCGACTGCTTTTCTATCTTCGATCAGGCGTCTCTAAGCCTGATCCAAGCGCTTCTACTGATGAGCGATTACTACCAGAGATACGGCCAACCAAAAGATGGCTGGACCTGTCTTGGGGTCGCCACACGAACTGCAGTTAACCTGGGGCTTCATCAAGAGTCAACAGCCTCCGGCTCCGAGGACACTCTGTTGGCACACGAGATTCGGAGGCGTGTGTGGTGGAGTGTCTATTGCTTGGATAGCTGTGCGTCCAAGATATTTGGTCTCCCCCTCCTGCTGCCGGACGATAGGTTGATCACCGTCAAACCGGTGCTCAACATCGCAGATGAGGTACCTAGTCTTGCGCCAGCGAATCATCGTTGAAGTGTCTGCTAACGCGTACAATGACAAGGACCTAACTGAAAACAGCCGGTCACGTCCGGTTGAAAGGGACGAGTGGACGATCTATTCGGGATTGATACTCCAGGCCAGCTATCACCGCATGGCCAATGATATCTATCATCGCACCCTTGCCGCCGACACGACCAACCCCGAGAATATCAAGGCATACGAACAGAAGATCAATGACTGGCACAATAATCTCACGTTCTGCATTCGTCAAACCCCGGCCGATCGACTCCCATCTTGGGCCATCCATGCGCGCGACCGGCAAATGCTGTGCGATAGAAGTCTTCGACTTCTCATTCATCGACCCGCGCTCTTAGATTGGCTACGGAGAAAACAGATCTCGCCCGGGCAGTCCGGATTAGGAGAGCATCTCACCGAGCGACAATGCCGGACGAGTGGTCTTAACCTCGCCCGTGGCACCATCAGGCTCACTTGCCGCCTCATCGAAGATCGTCAGTACTCGAACGTCACGCTACCGTTTATCCTGTTTGTGCCCCTCTTTCCTCAGTTTTCAAAGCTGTATAGTGCTTACCATCTAACAATGAGCTTTCAATCCCAGCTACAGCCTCTTCCACGCCGTCCTGGTGCCGGTGATCCATCAGAAAGCCGACGCCTCGGTCCCCGAGTCGATCTCCTGGCGCCAAGACATTGAGGAGGCCCGACAAACGCTGTCCAGTCTGTCCGTGCATCACGACGCTCTGTCCACGCATTTCCTGGTGATTCTTGACCGGCTCACGTCGGATTCGGCACCGACTGCGGACGGATGCCCTCTACGCCCGGCTTCGGACCCAGTGCAGCCGAGCAATCTCCGGAACGCCCCCACCAATCTCTTCGGCAATGAGGAGCTCCAGCTTCTGCAGCCTGACCTTGCGGACCTGTCATCTCTTCCGACCTTCTCAGAGTGGCTGTATTTCCCTCCATAGCTGCGGAACGGCACCTGCTCCTATTACTGTGTTGGAGAGTTCCAGGTGCAATAAGGCTGTAGATAGCCCTCTCTTTCTACCCGGCGGTGCTCAGCACGTGACTATCCCAAGAAGCACGAAATGACAAGGAAGCTTTAACGTTACTGTTGCAACGGAGTGATATTCATGCAAGGCATGGAAAGACGTGTGGAGATGGTGCCAAAATCACGTGATCTGGACGAAGCTGTAACTAGACCCTAACTACTGGGCAGGTCAAAAACGGACTTGGCAGAATGAATACTCCGTGGATACTATGAGTAATCGAGAAAAGTGTCTTCTCTGGGGGATTACAAATCCCCACCTCCACGCATGGGCGACTGCTGAACTAACGGATGATGTAACTTAACGGAGGTGGATTCCTCGCTACGGACTACTGTCTACCGGGATTCCTATTGGCTCATGGCTTTGATTATACTAGTAAGTACACCGAGTGATGCTGGTACTCAATGCAGTGATTTTCTATTTAAACCCTGTCTTCATGCATGCTCGAGGAGTGAAATGCTAGAAAGCAGAGCAATCAGGTCTTACCATCCAAACTCTTCTCAACCATTGAGCCTCCGCTACATACACCTCCACCCCACCCATTCGTCCCCCAATCATGCCTCTGACCGTCGGTATCGCCGGTATCACCGGCAAGTTCTCGCGTCTTGTCCTGAAGAACCTCCTCCGCAACCACCCCAACGTGCAGATCCGCGGCTTCTGCCGTAACGCCTCCAAGCTCCCAGAGCACCTGCGCTCATCCGACCGCATCACCATCATCCAAGGTGACTCGATGAGCTTGGACGACGCCCGCGAGTTCGTCCGCGGGAGCGATGTGATTGTGTGCGGCTACCTGGGTGACAACGAGTTTATGACCGCCGGTCAGAAAGTGCTGGTCGATGCGTGCGAGCTGGAGTCGGTGCCCCGCTACATCGCCAGTGACTACTGCCTGGACTTCACCCAGCTGGAGTTGGGCCAGCATCCCGCCAAGGACCCGATGAAGCTGGTCAAGAGCTACCTGGACTCCAAGCCCACTGTGCAGGGGGTGCATGTGCTGATTGGTGCCTTCATGGAGACCTTCTGGAGCCGGTACTTTGGCATCTTTGACCCCGCGCAGCTGACCCTCTCGTACTGGGGGGACGGGGACGAGGTTTGGGAGTCGACCACCTACAGCACCGCAGCCGAGTTTGTGGCGGCGGTTGCGACTGATCCCAAGGCCGTGGGCATGCAGCATTGTATGTTCCATTTCTCTCTCTCTCTCGCCCCGCATTTCTTGCTTAATTCCTCCCGGGGTTCCCGCAAGCGCCCCTGGATTGTATTGATGGCAAGGACTGACTGTTTCGTGGGGGAGTTTCCTTGGCCAGTCCTCGGAGACCGGAAAACCATCCGCCAGATTGCAGACGAGTTCGCCCAGGTCTATGGCCGGGAGCCCCGGCTGGTACGCCTCGGCTCTCAAGAGCAGCTGTACCAGAAGATGCATGCCATTTATGACCAGGATCCCTCGAACATCTACGCTTACTTGGCTCTGTACGTCCTGTCCTCCTTTAACCCCCTCGCTTTCCTCGTTGTTTCTGTTCTCGATACTGCGGGGTCTTAGTGAATCAAAGGCTAATTTCCCATCCCTTCGCGGGCGGGAACCAAAAAACAGCTTCTATCAGTACTATTGCACCAATGGACAAACATACCTCAAGCCAGAGCTGGATAATTCCAGGTACCTGAGCGTGAAGCCGATGACCTTCAGGCAGTTCCTGCAGTCGCACAGCATCGACTCGTTGAGCGACTCGTACCAGAACGCTGGGTCGGATGCCTAAACGCAGAGCCGCGGATGTAGACCGGTCTGGGATCCAGAAGGTACAGTCCCGTGCTATACTGTGTAAATATCTAGTGATGATCCCTGTTGAATATGATACTGTGCGGATGATTGTGCAGCATTAGTGTGTGGATTAGCAGGAAGGATATTCAACTTCGTCCGCAATACCGTTGGTCCTGTTCTCTAATCCTCTGCTGTCGACATCGGCGTGTTGAATCTCTACTACCCCACATATATCACACATCATTGGGAACTTATAGTCTGCACTATAGGCGAAGATGGCAAGAATGTCGTAATCCTTCATGTGAGATCTGTGATGGTTGAAGTATCACCGGCAATAATGGTCACTGTGCGGAGACCTACGTATCTGTGGACCTTCAAGCAGCAATACCGAATTCTTGAATTCCTCCACTTGACATTGTTGAAACAAAAAATGCTACAAGACTGACAGTGGAACAGTAGCCCCGAGCTAGTCCTGCACCCCCCGAATGAGGTTCTTGATCCCCTCACCCCTGCGCGTCCTCTCCCACGCCTCAGGCGCCTCCTCAAACGGCAGGGTACTACTAATCAACGGCGCCACACTAATCTTCCCCTCAGCGAGCAAGTCCAACGCAATCTCATAGTCACGAGGCGCATAGCGAAACGCCGTCTTGAAGACCGTCTCCTTGGCGAACATATCCAGCAACGGCAGCGCCTGCAGGGGCTTCCCCATGCCGACCTGCACCAGCACCCCACCCGCCCCGAGGGCATAGAGCCCCGTCTGCATCGCCGTCTCCACCCCGGTACACTCGACCACCACATCCACCCCTCGACTAGTATCCAAGCCCATCTCCCCCCTAAACCGCGCAGCAACCGCCTCCGCATCTTCGGCATTATCCGGCCGCATCACCGTGACACCCGACATTGACAAGAACCCCCGCGCAAACTCCACCTTCACCTCACTCACATCACTCACCCCCACCCTGGTAGCCCCATACGCCTTTGCAACAGCAGCAACCAACAGCCCAATCGTCCCGGCCCCCTGCACCAACACATTCAGCGCAGGCCGCACCTCCGCCAACCGGACCGCATGCACCGCCACCGCCAACGGCTCGACCAGCACCGCCTCCTGCAGACTCAGCGCATCGGGGATCGGGTACACAAAGTCCGCCGGCATCCGGAACACCCGACACAGGGTCCCGTGCGCGTCCGGCGGGTCGGCCGCGAACTTCATGGCCGGGCAGAGGTTGTACCGCCCCGTCTTGCAGGGCCCGCAGCGCCGGCACGGGTAGCCGGGTTCGACGGCGACGCGGTCCCCCGGCTGGAGGTCGGTGACTGCGCCGCCGACGGCGTGGATCGTGCCGGAGGCTTCGTGGCCCATGACCAGGGGCTTTTCCGGGGTCACTTTGGTGAGGATGCCGCCGTGGGTCCAGAAGTGGACCTTTCGAGGGTAAGTAGCTTTCTCTGGGGCTAGGACTGGGCTAGGGTTGGG